TTAGTAAGTATGGTACAAGTATCGTGTACTTTTTTTTGTTAGTTATAATTGAATAGTTTACAAATACATATAGCTAAATTGATTTTGTGTATTTATTTAATAATTTTCTGACAAACTATTACAAAACATGTAATAAAATCAAACTAAACTTGAAAAAAAAAAAAAAATTATAATCTTTAAAGCAAGATAAAAAATAGAAATGTTATTTTTAAGACACAAATGTTTATATTTGGTTAGTCAAAAAAAACAAAAATTATTTTTTTGATAAAGTTGAAGTTACATGTAAAATAAAATTAGGTACGTGATATTTGTACCTTGTATGGATATAAACTGTTAACCAAATATTTATTCCTCTTCAGACAAGTCAAGAAGGTACATGGTTTCTAATCTAACGGATCAAGTTTGCGTCAATTTTTTTTTTGTTTTACTATTATTGTAGTTATTTTTTATGAATTTAGGTGGTAAAACTATAATTAAAAATATTTTTTTTAATTCACACTGAATTGAGGTACTCATCAAAAAGGATTCTTATTTTGTTCTTCTTGATTAATTACAGTAATATTTTTACTGTGAAAACAAGAATTCTTTTAGACTTCAAATGAAGCGGACATTCATGTTTACTGAAAGACGCAAATAAATATTCTTTTTGATTACTTTTTGGAAAAAAGAAGTCTTTTAGAACTTTTATTGTCTACATAGAATAATCTTCATGCGTATTAGGTTAACACTTTCATTTTTAGTAATGATACGTATCATGATATTTTATTGTAAAAGTTATTGCAAAATTAAAAAAGTGCCCTTTTTCATAATTTTTCATTATAAAAAACAATTATTAACCAGTTAAATAAAGACAAAAATATTCTTCCAAAATTTGATCATGACTTCAAATTGGTGAGGAAAAAAAAAACAAATATTGTTTCACAAAGACAAATAATTAAATTTAGTATTAAATCCACTTTAATATTTGACCACGTTCATTACGTTTCACAACTAATTTTTCTGATTTTTTCTCGATCGAAAATATGATACTTATGAAGAAAAACTTTTTATACTAAAAAATCTAATGACAATGGCTAATTAATTTCCATTAAAAATTACATTACAGGTGACAGCAAGCGTGCAATGGATGAGTATACGTCAGAGATACTCATGAGTGGTCATAATACCATCGTCGTTCACAACACTTGTGAAGATTCGCTACTTGCGTCACCCATTATACTGGATCTGGTACTGATTGCCGAGATATGTTCACGGATACATTTTAAATACGCTGACCAGCCAGACTCGCAGTACAAGGGTTTCTGTAGCACCCTTTCCATTCTCTCGTATCTACTAAAGGCACCACTTGTACCACCAGGTAGTCCTATTGTAAATGCATTGTTTAAGCAGCGTGCAGCCATTGAGAATATTTTTAAGGCTTGCATTGGCATTCCACCTGAGAACAACATGCTATTGGAGTTCAAGATCAACATTGACTAAATTACTATATCAAAGTTTTTTTTTTTTTAATTATTTTACTATGTCAATTTTAAGGAAACCTACCTATTAATTTTAAGCCCAGCAACGACAATAACAAGTGATAATAAGTATTCTATCGTTATGTAGACAAAACCATAACCTAGAGGTTACAGTTCCTTACTTAATTACAATTTTTTCTTAGCTAAATAGTACTTTTAAAAAAATAATAGCCATACTTTTGTTGTACAGTGTATTTATTTTTTAGCGTAGTGTCGTCAATTTAACTGAGTATAAGACTAGTGAGTAATTATTGATGAGTATCAGTACTTTTTTTAATTCTAATTTTATAAAATAAATTGAATTTAAGATTAATAATTGTTTTAATACTATATTATAGCAAAAAAGTGTAATTTTTTCCAGTTCACGAAAAATCATATTAATAAGCTACTCAATCTCTTATCAAAAAGATTGCCACACAACTACTTGGCACACACTAGAAAACTACATGGTACAAGTTTTCTGATTACTGGCACTATTAAGTGCTGGTAAAAGTAGTCAATAACACTGACAACTTCTACTAGTTGTTTCAAGAAAAAATATTTCTGTGAAAAATAATAAAATATTGACTCAGTGCTATGTACATACGACTATTCATTGACACTGTTAAAGATCTATCAAAAATTTCAGAACACTTAACCGTTGAAAACCTAAAAAGTAGCTCGTTAAAAGTTGTGACTTCTACGTTAAGTCTTATGATGATTTAATATTTTAAGCACCAAGTGTAGCATTTCTTATGTATATACAAACTACAAAAAATCAATTTTTACAATATGCACCTTTATTATCATAATAACATGTAACGTTCATCATTATTTAGACATTAAACAATTTTTTTTCTTTTCTTTGAATAAAATGGTGATATGGGTTATATTAACTTTTGACAGAAGTTTTATTATGTATTGTAAGGCTTGATAGATTATAGTTGTGTACAGTTTATAAGCAGCTGTAATTAACATTTTTTTTATTTTATTATAATTAACAATCTCTAATCTTTTTTACCAATAAAAATGGGAAATTAAATGACGCAAGTAATAAACAAGCTATTTCATTTAACGAAAGGCCTACATATTCTAATTTTTTAATGATATCTAATTTTTTTCTATAAATCCAGTTTTCATCCGACTTTAAATTTCCTCTTTCTCTCAAGTCTAGTTTTCTTGGCTATCAAAGTTTATGTCAATAAAATTGTCTTTTTGAACTTATTTGAGTTTTCCCATCAAATGTTTTTTGTGAAAACAATAATATCATAAACATATTTCAAAATGATCGTTGTACGTTAACACTGATATCATAAACGTGCTATAATTTTGTGTTTCTTTTTCATAAAACAATATATCTATAATGAATAAAAAATTTGAGCTTATGTTTATATATTGACCAATCCTTCTATAGTTCATGTATGTATACATTTCTATATCATGTAGCTAAAGATGTACGAAATTCCAAATAATCCTCCCATTTCCACGAAAGTACCCCCCAACGACCCCGACAAATAAATGAATAAATGATAAATTCGACTTATTTCTCCATTATTTTAACCCAATTAACGTTAGGCAAAGTATCCTCACTAGCCTTCACATGATTTTCCTTAACCCCTCCGCCACCTCCACACAATATTTCTTGCCCTTCACTCACTTTCAAGTATTTACATGTACCCTTGGAAAAAACTGTATGTAATACAACCCCCACCCCATTTTTCTGAAAACACAATTGTACACAGTTTGTCAGTAAAATTTTGTTATCAAAATTAAACTTTTTTATCATGTTAGAAACAATTATTACTACAGGAGAACAGATAAATTTATACATAATAATTTACTTCTTTCATTTAATTGAGAACAGTTAAACTTTCAACGTACTAATGCTTTACATTGAAATACACGATAATTAATCCCTCTTATATAAATATAAAGTAAGTCTTATGAAGCAATGTTGGAAATTTTGATTAGTAAGTATTAAGTTCTTGGTACATTAATTTTTTTTTTTTGTTTGTTTGTAAATATCGACGCTCCAGACGAAGACTATGCCCAAATCGAATGAAAACTATGACATTTCGACTTCCCAGGTGAAGGTATGCCTTTTTTTCTAGTCCGGATAAAAACTATGCCTTTTTTTGGTCCTAGGCGAAGACTATGCCCTTTTCTTTGTGTCGAAACAAGTATTATGCTCTTTTCTCAAGCCCAAACGAAAACTATGCCCTATTTCCTAGTCAAGACGAAAACTATGCCTTTTTTGGTCCCAGGCGAAGACTATGCCCTTTTTTTTGAGTCTGGACGAGTACTGTGCCCTTTTTTCAAGCCTGGACGGAAACTATGCCCTTTTTTCAAGTCCGGACGAAAACTATCCCATTTTTTCCCAGTCTGGGCTAAAATTATGCCCACGTTTGGACAAAGACTAAGTTAAAAAACATCCAAACATTATTTATTGATCTCTCTTGCGTTGTACTTCCTCTAAAACAAAAAAGCCCCTCCAGATTTGCTGATTCATGCTTTTTTCAGCTAATACCTACTAATACGCTGAAAGAAGCTCACGAATACGAAGCTCCTGAAAATGATTGATTATTTTAAGGTTTTGCTCTAAAAAATTTTGATTGTTGATAATAATAAGAATTATTTAGTGATTTTACCAAAACTGTTTTTTATTAAAACAAATTTTTTTAGCTTTTATACTAAAGAAATACAAATTAAAAGAAACAAACCAGGGGGTATAAATGGGTTATGGGACCCACGGTAAGAACGAAGTTCTTTAAACATGAGATAATTATAAAGACACACAATTTCTCAGGTAACAAGGAGATCGCTAGGCCCATAGGAAGAATGAAACACTATAAAAATGAGTACTGCATTTATGTAGTTCACTAAAACAAAAACTTGAAAAACGAATAAAAAAAAATAAGAAAATTTAGTTCAGTACTCACGATAGTTGAACTTCGTAAATACGTCATGCATAAATACAGTACTCACGAAGTTCAACTATCGTGAGTACTGAACTAAATTACTGCTACCATACTGAAAATAATGAAAGGTAGTAGTTTAAGTATAATAATATATATTAAGAAAAGAACTTATTGTCTGATGTACATTGTGACCTTAAAAACTAAAAAGAGACCGCTTACAAGAAGAGCTAGGGCTTGACTGACTGTCTCGCTTGGAGTTGCGCATTTAATTTGTGGTTGTCATTTACGTGTGTATGTGCACTCGTACTAGACGTAAACTGCAGCAATTTACTTACAACAGTCGCAATTAATGCTGAAAATTCAACAATCAATTTTGAATATTATAAAACAATTAATTAATTACATATTTAAAAGTTGCTTACGTTATTAGAATTTTACAATAACACACAAATAATACATTTATTCACACAGCACAATTTGTGCATACACAAATATACACATACATACATATGACGTACGATTTTAATACATATANTATTATCTATTTATCAAATAATTTATTCATAACAGTAATTATTAGCATTATTTTAATGCCAAAAACATCATGTTTCAAATAAATCGGTTGGTATTTTATGCAACAAATGCATTAAATACTAATATTGAATGCATAATAACGCGCCTTATTCGATTTAATCTACATAACCCTAATTATGCTAATTAAATTTTTTGTTTCTTTAAATTTATTATTTAGAAAATAATTTTTTCTTAGGAGGAAGAGACTTCTAGTGAGCAACTTCCGTTTTATGGAAATCTGTCGTTTTCAAAATTCCAGCCCTCCATGCACGTGACATAAAGAACCTCGTTATTAATAAATAATCAAATGAATAATTTATCATTAATTAAATGTATTATCAGTGAATGCATATGCAAATAAAAAATAAGTTACGAACCACACGATAAGTACAAGAAACCAAAACAGTATAGTCGGCAATGTTCTTAGCAGAGTGGGTAAGGTACTCGACTCGTATGTAGGAGGTCGAGGGTTCAAATCTCTTTACAGGAAAGTTTTTTTTTTTTTTTTATAATTGTAGAAGAAAAAAATTTAAAGTTAAAAATAACTATGGGAAGGGAAAATTAAAATTTGCTCAAAAATTAATGGCTTGGGAGTGTGAAGGGGAATGGTGGGCAAAGGGGTGTAGAAGAGACGCGCGATACGGTTGGAAAATGTATGGTGGGGTGAGGGGAAGTGTGTAGGGAATTGATGGTGAGGGCGACGGGGTAAGGGGGGAAACTTAGGAGGAAGAGACTTCCGTTAAGCCACTTCCGTTTCATTAAATCTGTCGTTCTTAAAATTCCAGCCCCTCCAGTACGTGACATAAAGAACTGTGTTCTAAAAAGTTTTTTTTCTTCTTCAAACATCAAAATAATATTTGAGTTATAAGCTTTTGAAAATAAGTTAATGAGTCACAAATCATCATGATGTGTCCCTTACGAGGTTTACTTTGGGAAGGCCATAACAGAATTCGTAGAAAAGTTTGTTCAGTTCCCCGAGAAGCGTATGATCGATTGCGAGTAGCTTACTGCACTAGCAAAAGAAAATTTAAAGAAAAATTTTGAAACATGCAAGAAGCAGCAAAATTATTTTAAAATTGAACTTAATATTGACGACAAAGTTCTCCTGCCTGTTCGCCATCTCTCCAACGCGCTAGACAAAGTTACAAAAAAATGTTTCGACCTCTATAAGGGTCCCTATGTAATTTCTGGTATCATTTGTAAAAACGCGTATAAGTTATCAGATATTAATGACAAAGAGATAATTGGCACTTATAATAGGACAAATCTTCGTAAATATCGATCAATATAAGATACTCAGTATCATTAATGTATTGTCAGATGGGAGGGCTACTTATGTACGATTTAAACAAGATGTAAATAGTTTTATGTTTAGCGATAGTATATTGCAAGTTGTGTATATGTTGTGCGTGGTTTGGCGTGTGACCAAAAACAATTATGTGTGGGAAATACGCCAGAAAGCGAATATGCGCTAATAGATGTAAGTTCCATATTCAAGGACAAGAGCAATAACTTTGCTAACATTATAAGAATGGTAAAAATGAAAGCCGAATGACTGATTACGGGTAAAATTTGATGATGTGTATTTAAGAAGTCAAAACAACACGTATGTTTCGGAGCATAATTATGTCTCCAGTATTTATGCATGTTGCATTAGACTTTATCATGATCTTTGACTATGTATTAATGTGAACTCACGATTCACGTTATCTCGAGTCTTTCTTTTTTTTTTGTGAAGTACGTTCCATATCAGTTTGGACGCTTTCTCTCTCGTAATGGGGTAAAAGTGAGGGGGAGTATGTGACGGTCACGGTTTTTCTGCCAAGGATTCTCCCCTTCTGACACGATGTCGTGGGAGTGGGAGATAACAATTCAGGCTAATTGAAAAGGAAGCCTCGCGTCGCCCTCTCGATCGTGAGATGTTGTGGCAAATAGACATAATGCTGAAACTCTGCCGAGAAATAACAATCCAGGAGGTGACGTATTGCCCGTACGGGGCTTTCTGGTGATTCGACCCTGTTGACCAGGGCCATTCCGAAATGGCTTTCTGGACTCAGGGGGAGTCGACGTCACTGACGATTGGCGGGGCTGGTGGTGTATCTAAGCCAAACTCATCCGAACGAGGAGCTATTGCCCGCAGATTTGGTGTCATCCATGGACCGCCCTGTCTTTTACTAGCTGAATCTCCATTACGCTTCAAGGTGGTATACAACCTAGTATTATACGTTTTACAAGACTCAAAGCGACGCATCGTTTCCGGTAACGTTAGATTCGTGCTACCTTAGATATTATTACAAAATTTTTTTTGCATAAGCCCTTAATTCAACTATATTAGAATTGCGAGAAGCCTTTGGCTGAATCTCTACGCTTAGCTTCAGCCAAGACAAGCCGTCTTCGCAATAAGACCGTCAGATATGAGAATCGAAGCCCACCTTAATCAAGGCGTTTGTTTTGAAGTGTGATTTGTTCAAAACTAAAAAGTTATTAGAATATATGTGCACAAAATCAATAAGAAAGATATTGTAGTCCGCATAACATTCTCAATTCATTCATTATTCCCTTAACTGATATTCATGCATGAAAAGATAATTACACACATAACAATGTTATTTAATTGTACCGTTAAAAATAAAACCATTACATGTAAAAACAAAGGACAAATAGTATTTATACCTAGAATCACTTTAAATACCGGAGATCATTCTTGTTTACAAAGTTAACAGTTTCCATTAGTTTCGGCTTTTTCTATGACAATAAATAGATCACAGGGCGAACATTTGTATTTCATAAGATTATACTTAAAAAAATCTTCATTTCTTCATGTCCAATTAAATGTAGCTTTATCTTCATACAAAAATTCGAAAAATACTGTTTAAAATGATTCTGACGATAACTCAAATATAAAAACTATTGTCAGGCAAACAATTTTTTTAATCTAAGAATATTCCTATTAAATACGATGTCGTCATCATATTACTGTATCAAACATCAATTTATTTAAAGAAGTACTCTG